GAAAAAGTGTATTAATTTAGTTATATAACATACAGAATATATATATATATATATATATATATATATATATATATTATACAAAAAAAATACATTTTTTAGGCTATTATTTTGAGTGCAGCTATACAGTGTCATTTTCCCAATTATTAATCGGTCTAAATAAGCAAAAATCAACTAGTTTACGATTGAGATGTATATAGGAGTAAGCTTTGTGAGTTGTACCTAGAGCAGCGAGCTCAATGGAACTTCCTTGACCAACAACAGCAGTATCAATAAGACTCATTAAAGGCCCACATAACCATAGCCCAACTGCTGGCCCTGAAAACTTTGCAATTTCCACCATTTGAGTCCAAATACTTTCATTTGCAGAAAATTCTCGTCCACTAGACTCTAACACTTGAATTTTCTCTACTTGTTCATTTCCTACTTCTTTGATAGATGAAACTGAAACTGGATCTGAGGTTTCTACATCAGTAATTTCTTGGCTGGGAATTGAACAAGAAGTGATTATTAACTTGCGACAATTGCAGATTTGAGTTTTTTGTGCAGTCCGAGAAGTTCGGAATCGAGTTGAAAATGAGCTAACATTGAGAGTTCGAATTTGTATTGGGATTCGAGATTGATAAGTGAAAGTGTTAAGATTGATTGCTTGAGTGTACATTGACATTGATACAAATGAAGAAAACTGGGGGGATTTGGAATTTGGAGATATGGGCAGCTGCTTTTAATATAGTTGAGCAACTGTTTAGGCAACTGTCCTAACAATGGTCTGGAATTTAATTCAGTTAAGTGACTTAACTGTTTAGGCAACTTTACTGCCGCGATACTAATAAGCACCGGCTCCGTTCACTTTAATTGATTTTTTTAGCTGTTTTCATACGTATTAAGAAATTCATTTTTTAGTATTAATTAACAATGAAATTGATCATATTAACCTTAATTTATTCATTAAAAATACAATAATTACTCCTAGGTTCTTTACTCCAAGACAACTTTGAAAAAAATGAGTTAATTCCTTTTTGATATATGAAAAAATC